GAAAAAACGGACAATAGCGAGTGCTGCCGAGGATGTGGGGTGGCCGGAGCGCTCTTGTGCTGCTGGTGGGGGGACTGGAGAACGGCTGAGTGGTCACCGGCTTCGTGCCTCTCCTGGGACCAGCGATTCCCCCCGGAAAGTCCCAGGTGTAGGCCCTCAACAGAAACGCGTTCACAGGTGCACCTGCCACAAGGCCCCACGGAGAAGTTCACAGCATCCTGTTGGTGAGACGCGAAGCCAGCAACGGTGTGTGTGTAAGGCGTGGTCTGTTCTCCTGCAGAACATGGGACATCGAGAGGATGGACAAGCAACAGCCACAAATCACAACAGCACAGACCAATCCCCCAGGCGTGCCCTGGAGCAGGAGAGGCCACCCACGGCGTGGGCACCCAGAGATGCTGGGGATCTAAACCTCAAAGCAGCAAAACCACACTGCGAGAGTCAGCGGCTCGGTCCCCAGGGTGGATGACAGCCGGGCCCTCTCTATGGCCGGGGCACTGGTTACACGGGCGTGCTGGACGTGTGAACGTTCGAAGGGCTGCGTGCTCACGGCCATGCATGTCTCTACAAAGTCAGGCTGCGATGCACGTTCAAGCCACCTCTGGGTGGGGGGCTGCACAGCCCCTCGGCGCCCTTCACACCCCTGCTAGGGGCTGGCTCTGTCCCGCAGGGGGCGGGCAGCGGTGTAGAGAGATGAGGGCCCACTTCGCTCCCGGGGGCTCGTGCTCAGGGTCGGGCCGGGAGTGTGGGATTGGACTCTATCCTGAGTGCTGTGGGGAGCCTTCACAAAGCTCCCCGAGAACCGGGCTGGGGGCAGGGATGCCCATCAGGCCAAGGAGGAGGCCGCCCAGGCAGGAGGCGTGGTGGCCTGGGTCAGGTTGTGGCAGTGGCAGGAGGGACGTGTTCTGGAGGCAGAGCCCGTGGAGATTGGCTGGGAACCAAGGATGGGGGAGAGGTTGTGGGTCCTGCCTCCGGCCTGAGCAGCAGTGGACGGGCAGCAGAAAGGTTGTCACGCTGGTGCAGGTGGTCCCAGGCAAGGCCAGGGGGCAGTGAGAAGAGGCCAAGGGTCCCCTGAGGGACGCTGCACAGGCACCCCGGGCTCCACGTCCAAGGCTTCCACTGGCCAACCCGGGACGAGCATCTTCCCCCATGAGCCTCAGGTGCATCATTCGAAAATGGAAATTCTCAGCTCAAGGGTGTTACGCAAGCACTGTGCATGTGGCCCAGCAGAGGAGACTTCTAGCAGACACGCGAGGCAGGATTCTGGGGGTGGTGACAGACGGAGGAGAGCTGAAGACCACAGGCTGCCTGGACAGACCCCATTCTCCCCATGGAACCTCTCATACCCTCTGGGACCTGGCCCAACTCGGGTGTCAAGAGCTCACCTGGCCCAGGGCACCTGTGCCTGGCCACCTTCCTTCCAGCCCCCACTGGGGACGGGTCACTAGGCCAGGCACATCCCTTAATGAAGGTTCAGCTGCATCTGGCACGAAGCTGGGCCCGGCTGTGGCCGACAGAGCCATCCTGTCCCTGAGGCTGGCCGGCTGGCCGGCCGCTCGGGGGGATAAACAGGAAGCCCCATCTCTCCCCTGCTCTGCGCTCCGGTCTTTCCTTCCCGCAGCCGCTCACACGCCACGCCTGGTGCCCCTCGGCCTCACGCCGCCTGAGATGCCCGAGCTGGCCTCTGCTGCGGGCTTGGTCCACTCTCTCCTGGGGCCTCAGAGGCCAAGAGCTCGGCAGTGAGGGGTCCCAGGAGGACCCAGAGGCCCTGGCTGACCTCTGCCACTCCCCACCGCCTGACCAGCATGCTCTGGGAAGGTAAGGCGAGAACCCCTTTCCAATCAACTTCAGAATGTCCACAGCAGGCCGGGAGGCAGCTGCAACCATCTCACCCCATTCACCGTGGGGCAGATGGGGAAACTGAGGCCCACTGTGGGTACAGCCTCCAGCAATGGAAGCAAAGCTGGGACTGGCTTCCCCATCGCAGCCTGGGCCTCCGCTATGGATGCCACACCCAAAGCTGGTGAGGCTCCAGGCCCAGGTCTCTGAGCCACCCAGGTGTGGACAGGGCCGCCATGCCCTCTGGGGCCACCGTGCCCTCTGGGGACACAGGCCTGGGTCAGAGGCACCACCGATTCCTTCCAAAAATGATTCTCTGTGGGAGGGTGGTGTTTGATGGTCCTGCACAGATGCCACTGGAGGGGGTAGAAGGGGCTTCCTTTGGTGGGGGCTGGTCCTGGTCTGCCCCGTGGTGAGCCCCCTCCAGCCTGGAGCACAGAGTAAAATCCACTCACCGCAGCACCCTGGGGGGCCCATGGGGTGGGAAGCACCCCTCACCCCTCTCCAGGCCCCTAGGACCCTCCTGGAGTCTGAGAGGGCATCAGACAGCAGCCGTCTCTGTCCTCCGCTCGTACCCAATCCTTGCCACCTGGGCAGCCTCTCCAGGTCCCTGACAGGCCCCACGTCAGGGCAGGACCCCAGCCCACCACCCACATCTGCGCCCAAGGCTCTGGGGACCTGAGAGTGGAGGCTGCAGTGGGGTTCCAGTTGGCTGGACAGGGTGAGGCTGGCACCCTGGGGCCCTGACCAAGGCCCCCTTTCCTTGGATTGCTCTGGTCTCTGCCCAGGGAGGGGCTGGGGGCATGGCAGAGCTTGTCGGGAGGGGTCACAGAGCAGTGGGGGACCCCCAGAACAAGTGGGCAGCAGGCAGGGCCAGGGCCCCACCCCGGGTGGCCCCCAGGAGCCAGCGCTAGAAGACTAATGTCTGGAGGACCCAGGATTCTGCTTTTTTTCCTCTCTGTGCCTGTAATTCCACTTTCTGATTCGCCTCTGTGTTCTGGGGCATCTTTCCAGAAAGTTCCCTAATGCCTGTGCTTTAGAGGGAGTGATGACCCGTTAACCCATTCACATATTTGGCTAATCAGCTATTCCCAGTCTCAGCCCGTCCCTTGGCAGGGGTAGGTCTGACAACTGGGGGCTTGCCCGGTTGAGAGGGGCATAAGGAGGAATTGGGGGGTTCATGGAGAAAAGAAAAGGAGAACAAGCGGGGGCTGCTCCTGTCCTGATCCATCATCGCAGCTCTGAGTTGCCTCACTGCTCACCTGGGCGAGTCTTCCCTCTCTGGGCCTCAGCTTCCCCATCTGTACACAAAAGGGGCTGGATCCAGCCAGCCCTGATGTTGCCTGGTTCTTCTGCCCAGGAGCATGGAGCAGACCCTGGGCTTGGGGTCTGAGTGATGTGGGCACAGGGGGCACCTCCTGGGATTGGGGGGCAAAGCCCAACTTGGCCCCTACATTCTGGTGTGTGCACTCAGCATACATTCTGGCATGTGCACTCAGCAAGCCCTGGCCCTTCTGGACAGATGGGCTGTCAGGTGGGAAAGTGAGGGGGTCGAGCAAGGCAAGGGGGTGCTGAGGGTGTGACCACCGTGGGCTGGTGGGGAAGAGATGGGGGATGGCGCCTCGCCTGCCAGCTTCAGCCTCAGGACAGGGGGCACCCCTGGAAAGAGGTCCCCTGGGCCCCTTCTGCTCAGACCAACAGCGCCTGAGTGCCAGGAGCTTCCTCACTGTCACAACAACCCTGATGGTTGGAACCTCTCTGTCCCCATGGAACAGAGGGGGAAACTGAGGCCCAGAGAAGAAAGCCCCTGGGCCCTGACCACGGCTCCGTGCCTGCGGCAGCCCCTTCCCCAGCCGTGGGGGTTGGGAGGGGAAGGTGGTCCCTGCTGACTTTTGAGACCCGCCTACGAGCACAGGCAAGACTTCCCTCCTGCTCACAGCACTCCGGCCGGCTGGGAATTTCCCAGGCAGCTGGGCCTCCCTCCGGGTCGGGAAGTCCAGCTGTGGGGGGCGGAGGGAGGTAAGGGCCATCGGAGGTGCTCAAGGCCAGAGAGATGAGGGTGTTCCAGCTATGGGCCAGTGGGGGTGACTCCAGAGCGAGGTTCGTACCTGAGGACACCTGGGGTTTGGCGTGGCCCTGCTCATTCGGGAGCCCTCGGCCGTCCAGGTTTGTCCTCAGCAGCTGCCTGGCTCCCCACGTGTGCCCACCCACCCACCATCACAGCAACTGATGCTCGGTTTGCAGACCCACAGCACCATCTAAATGAGGAAACTGAGGGTCACACCTGGCGGCTGGGGCCTGGACCACCCGGCCAATCTGAGGAAGCATCCCCTTTGGCCACTAAAGGCTCCTGCATTCCTCCATCCCCACCGCCCACACCCCTCAGCCTGCTGGAGGCCAAGGGAGGGAAGAGCGCCAGGGAAGATGCTCTGCACCCTGCAGAGAGTGGCCCTGTGACGTAAGCTGGGGGCTTTCGCCCCTGCTGGCACACCTCCAGGAGTAGGGGCTCGCTGCCCCATGGGGCAGCCCTTTCCAGGGGAGACAGCTCGGTTCCTAGCGAAGATCATCTCCAGTCTGATGTCTGCCCCTCCCTGTCACCCCCCCACCACCACTCTGGGCCCCAGGGACCCAGAGAAAATGCTGTTCTGGGATTCCCCAGCCTGCCTTGCCCATCCCTGGGTCTCTTCTGGTGGCCCCCCTCTGCAAGGGACCCTCCAGCCTGCCAGGGCACAGACATCTGGGTGTGTACGTGCCCTGGGGGAGAGGCCAGGCTCACAGAACAAACGGTCCCTTCTGTGCAGCTGCACTAAGGCGGCCTGTGGTCCCAGCAGCCTGGTGGACCCACGGCACCGGGACCCTGGGCCCGACCACCTCCTCCATCACACAGTGGGACGAGCCAGGTCCCATGGCCACCAGCTGGGCCCGAGCCTGGTCTCTGGCTGCTTCAGGGCTAGACTCTGAAGTCCTGGGGGACAGCCCCCCCACCCTGCCCACAGCTCAGCCAGGCCCCTCCCTCGATGGCCCCCCACCCGCCCCTCGGCCTCCTGTTTGTTCCCTGACAGATCCCCGTTATCAGCAGAGAACACACACAGGAAGTCCGGCCGGGAAGGGCCCATCCCAGTCCCGATTTACACGGGAGGGAGCATAAAAAGCCGCCCTTCCTCGCCCCGGGAGGAGCCTCCTTGCCCCGAGACGCTGTCCCGCACGGCCGAGCCAGAGGCTCCAGCGGACGGGCCAGCGGGCAGCTGCGGGAGGTGCCTGGGGGCGGCCAGCGAGGGGTAGGGTCCACCCCCGGCCTGAGGAGGCAGCGGTGGTGGCCATGGCCAAGCCCGGGCCTGGGCAGCATCAGGTATGGCAAGGGTGGCCTTGGAGGGGCAGGGAGCGGGCAGAGCCGGGTGAGTGCCCCTGGGCTCCCGCTGACTGCAGCTCCAGTAGCTGAGTACGGGCCTGTGCCAGCTCTGGCCTCTGCTCTGCAGCCACCATCTCATTTTCCTCCCTATTGGTACCAACCCCGCTGCATGGAGGACACTCAGGTCCCCTAACCAAGGGCAGTCACTGGCGGTTGCCCAGTCTGGATGGAGTCTGGCCTGCCTGATGCCAACACTTACCCTGGGGCGGCCGGGCAGCTGCTGTGACCCCTGGAAGCGGGGAGCCAAACGCAGCTGGCATCTTCTCTTGCACCCCTCCTTCTCAGCCCACCCTGCTTTCCTGGAGAAGCCCCTGGGGTCAACGGCAAAGTCGCTTGGCTCACTCCTCCTCTCTGAGGCCCGGGGGCCCAAGGGCATCCCCGAAGGGTGGGCAAGCACTCCCAAGGGGGTCAGGAAGGGGCCCCAGCGGGAGGAACCCCAAAGCTAAACTGCAGCCGGGATGAGCTGTGCACATTGGGGACTCTGAACATGGGACCTGGAGAAGCCCCCACCCCACCCTGGGCTGGCTTCGGGGTTGGGGGGTCCTCAGGCAGAGGGACCACTTGGAGCAGTGCGGTGTGGGCACTTGTTCGGCCACTTGGGACCCCAGGGGAGCCCCTGTTCTCCCTCTCCAGCCCCACCCAGAGCAGCCCAAGGCCCCACCCAAGGCTCCCAAGCCAGAATGGGGCACTCACTGGCCCTGGCCCCGCTGCTGTCTCAGGCCACACCAGCAGTCTGTCCGAGGAACGCGCGCCCATTTGTCAGATGGAAGGGGCAGGTGAGGCCTCCGTCCAAGCAAGCAGCAGAGGGAGGAGCAGCTGACCCAGTCCCCCAGGCTCCCCCTTTCTGCTCAGCCAAGAGAGGCCACAGGCACAGGCAGGTCACAGGGTCAAGTGACCGCAGCTTCAGGGACAGGCTAGGGGCAGAAGACAGGGTGGGGACGCTCTCCGTTCGAGTCCCCCAGGCTCGGCTCTTAACTCTTCACTGCCTGAGGCTGGGTGAGGGCTGCCCTGCTGGGGTATGGGAGGTGGCGAGACCCAAAGTCTCCCAGGGCAGGACCCCTTCACAATTACAGGATTCCAGCGGCAGCTGCCCCAGCCACCCTCAGACCATCTGCTAGGGGCGTCCAGGGCCCTCTGGTCCAGGGCAGTGGCTACTGGATGGCAGGAAGGGAGGCCTCATTCTGGGGGCTCCTGTCCAGGCACCTGGGACCCCTCCCTTCCTTCAGGTCCCAAGCACCAAAGTAGGCCCAAGCCAGATGCCCCACAGCTGCTAGCTCTGTCAGAAGGCCCTCCCCTTCCCCACGAATCTGCAGGACCCTCCTTGGCACCCGGGCTCTGAGGAGGGCCCTTCAGCTGCACGCACAGCACCCTCTCCATCCCCGTCTCTGTCTCCATCTCTGGGGAGCCCAGGGCAGGAGGCAATGGTCCCATCCGACAGACGGGAAACCATGTCTGCCCCATGGCCGATCTGGGAGGCCCACTGGGCTTGGGCCATGGTGGGGGGAGGGTCTGTAGGCCAAGTGTAGGCTGAGGTCCCACAGTGGCATCAAGCTTGGCCCCTTCCCAGCACCTGGACTTGAGGGTGACCAAGGCCATGTGCTAACCCACACCACATCTCTGACCCGCAGGCCCCAGCTCAGTGGAGGCACAGGTGGCCCCCACTGCCCAGAAGAGCAGCTGCCACCAGGGTCCAGGGGATGACGGAGCCCCCTTCTCTAGGTGAGTCCCGCAGGAAGCCTGGGTGCCCTGGGCAGGAGCAGGGGCCCTGGCCACACCTGGGCAGCTTTACACACACGCACATGCACTCAGGTGACCAGGACCCCGGCTCGGGTTTGAGGGCAGAAACTGCCAAGGCATCAGGCCCAGCCCCTCACACACGGTGATGGCTGTAATAACTGTGGCACAGAAATGACCGAGACCTCCCTGGTGGCCTGCACCTGGTTCCCGCTGTGCCCACCGCTGTCTCCTGGTGGGCACTGCTGCTCCTGGGCACTCTGCCATGCAGGGTCAGGTGACAAATGCGGAAATGGAGCCCGGAGAGGAGAGAAGTGACCAGCCCAGAAGCCCCCAGTGGTGACCATGGGTTTGGGGGGACTCCCAGAGGCCTGAGGAGCACTCAGGGTGGCCCAGACTGTCCTGAAGGAAGGGGGAGCCAGGTGAGATCCTCGCAGGCCCCCTAACCTGGCACCCTGGTTGGGAGGGAGGCTTGGCGTCACACCTAGGACCCCGCCGGCTTTTCCACAGCCCACCCTGTGATCTCGTGGGAGTAGGGGGTCTCGCGGCCTCGGGGCCCCTGATGTGCGCCCGACGCACGGCTGCAAGGCAGCGTTCAGTTTAGCCAGCCCCTCGTGCCTCGTGAGCCGGCCACGCGGTTGTGATGGCCATCCTCAGGGGCTGGGGCTCAACCTGGGGGCGTTCGAGAACTAGCCACCCCTGGCCAGTGTGGGCTTCCCCAACGCAGCCTCCGGGCACCTGGCGACGGTCTCGGTCCTGCGTCCCCTGCGGCCACGCGCCCTGCGGCCTCGGGAGGGGCGGCAGTGGCGTTCAGAAGCGGGTTGTGCGTCAGGAGCCCCGGGTTCTAGCTGACTCACGGCCGTGCCCTGGGGGAGCCGTCCGCCGCGGGGCCTCAGTTTCCCCATCTGCGCAATGGGGTCGGTGGGTCGGGGGTGGCTCGCAGCCCACCCCGGGGCGGGGGCGGGGCCGGGCCAGGTGGGGCGGGGCCGGGACCGGGGCGGCGGGCGGGGCCCGGGCCCCTCGGCGCGGTGGCGGCGGCGGCGGCGCGTGCGCGCCCCGGACCGGCGGTGAGTGCGGAGGGACCGGGCGCCGGGCCGGCGGCGCGGGGAGCGCCGAGGGCTGGGGGCCGCCGAGGGCGGGGGGCCGCTCGCCATTGGGCGGGGGGTGGGGAGGTCGGGGCTCGCCGCGCGCGGAGCTGGGGGGCGACGCAGAACAACCGCGGGGAGCCGAGAGGTGAGCGGGCCGGGGGCGCGGGCACTGCTGCGCGGGGCCCCGACCCCCCAGCCCGTGCCCCGGATCCGCCGGCTGGGTCCGGAGAATGGGCCCAGCGGCCTTGGGAAAGGACGCCCCCTGCTGGTGACGGATGACCTGGGCCGGGCCGCGCGGGGGTCGGGGTGGGGGGTGCCACAGCCCCTCACCCCCTCATCCGGGCTCTTCGGGTCCTCCAGGGCCTGACTTAGGGCCCCGGACCCGGCAGCCCAGTCCAACCAGGCCGTCTGCTGGGGGGGTGTCATACTCCACCCTCACTCCCACCCCCCACGGAGCCTGCCGTGCAGGGGGAAGGGGAGGCGTGGGGTGGGCGGTGGAGAAGGCGCATCCCCAGTGAGTCACTTTTGTCGTCTCACTCCGCCTCCGCTCCCCGTGGGTCTTAACGTCCAGAGCACCCCTCCGGGTGGAGGGGGGACCCAGGGTCATGGCCCCGCGATGGAGTCAGGCCCCTCCCTCTGCGGTCCCAACCTCTCCGGGGGCTGGCTCCGGGGATGCAGCGCGGGGCAGGTGGGAGGGACGGTGGTGAGCAGGGTTCATGCTGACCGCCCAGGGCTCATGAGGGGACGGGACGTTATTGCTTATCAACCTGGAGGCAACGTGGTCACCCCTACCCTGGCTCCCTGGCCTGGGCAGGGCTGTCACACCAAAGGGAAATGAAATTCTGCCAGACCAGCACAGGCTGGGCAGCGCCATCGGCTTCCTCCGGCCTAGGGGAAAAGCATGACTTTCAAAAATCGAGTGTCTCCTTTTTAAAGCAGATTCCCTTTCTAAATGGCTCTCAGTAAGTAGGGGAGGTGCTGGGATGGGTATTTGTGGCATGGCAGCCACGTCTGCAGGATGGTTCTATGGAACCCTGACATGCCCCTGCCAGCCCAGCCAGCCCAGCCAGCCAGCCAGCCAGCCAGCCCGCCCAGCTCTGCACTCCCCAGGGCCACCATCCCCACCATTTCAATTCGTGCCTGGACTGCCAGGTCACACCACAACAGTGTGCTCCCCTAGGATCCAGCCCCAAAGTTCATCTTCCCAAGCTAGCTGTGACTAGCAGGGCATCCCCCTGTCCAGAAACAGCTGAGAAACACCCCTACTTCCCCCAGACTAAGTCCCAACACCTCAGCCGCCCCCTACAGCCTCTGCCTGCTCAGCTGCCCCCCGCCCGCCCCTTTGTGCCCCCAACGGAGGACAGGGGGTGCAGGAAAGACCCTCTTCCAGCCCTTTCCCGCCCTCCCCAGGGCTGTGTGGTGCAGTGGCAGGAGCATGGACTGAAGTCCCAGCCAAGTGGCCCTGTGCACCGGGCACGGCATCACTGCCCTTGGGCTTGGGCTTGGGCTTGGCTGGCATCGGGGGCTCAGTAACTGCTCCCAGTGCTCACTGTTTATGGGACTGACCGTCAGGGCTGGAGGAGGGGCCTCCGAGGCCCTAGAGGTGTCTTTGAGGAAACTGAGTTCCTGAGAAGGGAGCGAACTTATCCTGACTCCGTCCCCTCCCCCCAGTTCAGCTTCTTCCTGCGCCCTTTCCTGCTGGGGACCCTGCAGGACTGGGGGAACCCAGCCCCTTGGGGGCCTCAAGTGGGGCACCCAGAGCCTGAGGGCAAGGAGCTCCCCAGCTCCTGTCTGCACATATGGACAGCAGCTCCCCCCGTAGACTGTACAGGCCCCCACCCCCCATCCCCTCGGCATGTTGCAGACCATTAATTCTGGGCTGGGGTTTCTCACATTCCTGGGAATCTTCTCTTGGCCTCCCTGGCTCCCATCACAGCCAGGAGAGGGATGGCAATTGGCTCCACTGGCATGCGGGGGGCTGCTCTGGTTCCCCTGCCAGGTGGGCGCCCAGTGGGGCTGCTGTCCTGGGAGCCCTGGAGGCTGTCTGCATGGTATTCCAGACCGGTTCGGTCCCCAGTGTTGGAGTGACCCCCTCCGAAATGCAGGCCCTGCCCTACTCTGAGCAGGACCGTAATGGCTCCTGCATGCCCAGTGCCCACATCCCTGATGGGCTCCAGTGCCGCCCCCACGGCTGGCTACCCATTTGGTATTTGAGAACACTGAAGGCAAGAAGGGCCAAGCCAGCTGGGCTGGGCTCCAGTTCTGCCCACTAACACCCCATTTGTGAACTGAGATTGGGGTACCAGCGCACCCCTGCCCTGCCATGACAAGGAGAGCACTAAACCCAGCCAGCAGAGGGAGAATGGGTCCAGGTGCTCGCCCTGGGCCCCCACCTTCTCAAGTGAGCTTTCCTGAGCTGCAGATGCCTTCAGGGTTCACCCAGACCAAGCGCAGCAGGGCGTAGACGCCTCTCGCCCCAAGCAAGGGGGCTGGCTTTGTTCTCCCCCCCTGTGGTCCCTGGGCTGGCTGTTTGTAGCTGGCGAGGGGCCGGCCTCACGTGTCGAGGCGGGCTGGAGGAGGGGAGAGCTGGCATCCGCCGTGGGGGCTCTCCAGCTGGTGGGAGGCTGTGGAGGGAGGTCCTGGCAAAGTGGTTGAGCTGGGTGGGTGTCACGGAGCCAAAGGGACCGTCTCCACCAGGGTATGGGCTCAAGGGGGGATCTGTGGAGGGACTCATGGGGTCATGCCTTGTACTCCAGGGCACCCTGAGGAGAAGGCCGTCCCACCTGGAGACACAGGCCATGTGGGGCTCCCGGGAGCTGCTTCTGGTGTGGTTCCTGGTGCTGGCAGTGGGCGGCACCCAGCATATCTACCGGCCTGGGTGAGCCTGGCAGGGCGGGTGGGTGGCCAGGAGCCCTCAGCCCCTCCCTGGGGCAGCCCTCAATACTTGGGGGAGCTGTGGCTCTTTTCTTGTGGCTCTTGCTAAGGGTCCTTCCTATGGTGACACTGGCAAGCCCCCTCCCCAGGTTCTTGGCCCCCTTGGGTCCTGGGGCTGGAAGGGTCCCAGCTTGGGGAGGCCCTGCTGACTCTCTGGCCACCCTCACCTCCGCAGCCGCAGGGTGTGTGCCATCGGGGTTCCCAGGGGCCCCGTGTCCGAGTCCTTCGTGCAACGCGTGTACCAGCCCTTTCTCACCACCTGCGATGGGCACCGAGCCTGCAGCACATACCGGTGAGCCCCCACCGCCGCAGGGCCTCCGTCTGCTGCACATGAACCCGGGAGGGTGGTTCACCCCGAGACGGGAAGCCGAGCGCAGGGGTGCGGGGACTCCCGGCACCGTGTCCAGGGCGTTGCAGAGAGTGATGCCCGTTTTAACTCGGGCAGTCCTGTCTCAGGATGTTAGCTAGTCCACTCAGCCCTTGGTCCCCACCCCGCTCCCTCCCAGGGCATCCAGTGTGCCTGCTCCCCACCTGCATCTGTGAGGGATCGCCCATCCTGTCTGCTCCCCTCCACTTTTGGGGCGCTCGCCCCCACCATTGCTGGCTGTGAGTTCTAGGCCACTTGAGATGAGGCCTGCCTCCCCGAAACCTGCCTCCGTCATCCTGGTCCCGCCCTCGGGGCTCCAGTGGGCACTGCTCTCCCCACGACAGCCCCTGACGGTCATAGATGGAGACACCCCCCCCCACCCCCCAGGACTCAGCCGTGGGAATGTGGCTTCAAAAGATTTTATTTTCTGTACAGTTCTGGAAGCCGTCCCTGCTGGGACACCCCCCACCTGCCGCTGAGAAAGTGGGGGCAGGGGGACAGTGCAGGTGGGGCCCAGGCTGGGAAGGGCCGTTGTTCCTGTGCTCGGGCAGCTCAGCCTGGGGTGGGCACCGCATTTCACTGAGCGATGGAGGGCGGCCGAGGAGGGGCTGCTGAGGCCCCGGTCTGAGCCCTGTCCGCCTGCTCAGAGAGGGCGCACGAGGCCAGGTTTCGGACACTTCGGTGGCTCCAGAATGGTGGTCTGAGCAGCGCTGGTCCAGGGGCCACCTCGGCATCCAGGGCCCAGCACCCCGGGAGGGCACGGTGGGGTGAAGGATGGGGAGATCAGCCCGGTTCTGCAGATGACCCGCTGGGGGACCCCTTGCCCCTGGAGCGGGAGGCTCAACCAGGGTGGCAGGGCTGAGGGCCACTTCTGCTCCGTGCCGGGCACAGCCGGGGTTTCCCACCAAGCCTCGGGGTCCTGCTCAACACCGCAGCACCGGGCAGGGGGCTGGCTTGTGTGGTGACCCCGAGGTGCTGTCCCTGGGGTGACATTGTCCACTCTGGGGGTGCTGGCTCCTCGAGGTTTCTGGAGGACATGGGGACCAAGCCAGCCCTGGAGGTGGGCAGATGTGGAGGCAGGGGGTGCCTCACTTGGCGTGTCTGGGGAAAGGCTGGCCTGGGCTCAGGTAGCACCCAGTGAGGCCACCCCGTGGGGGTCGGGACTTTCTAAGCTGTCCCCCACCCACCCCCAGGACCATCTATAGGACCGCCTACCGCCGCAGTCCTGGGCCGGCCCCCGCCAGGCCTCGCTACGCCTGCTGCCCCGGCTGGAAGAGGACCAGTGGGCTCCCCGGGGCCTGCGGAGCAGGTGAGGGCTGTGGCCGCCCGGGGGCCCAGAGCACTGGTGTTCCTTCAGATACCGGCCCAGTTAGGCAGCAGTCCATCCCGTGCTCAGACGCCGGCAGAGCGCCTGCGGCTCTTCTCTCAAAACCTGAGTGGAGCCTCTCCTGGCTGCACGGCACTCCTTCCCAGCTGCCACCCCTGCAGGGCCCTGGGGACCCTCCTGAGTTGGTGACAGGTCTCCCCCACCCACAGCAGTATGCCAGCCTCCATGCCAGAACGGAGGGGTCTGTGTCCAGCCAGGCCGCTGCCACTGCCCTGCAGGATGGCGGGGCGACACCTGCCAGACAGGTGAGGCGGGGTCCCCCTCCCAGAGGGGGAGGGTCCTTTGGGCACCTCCCTGCATGGCCCTCTAATGGGTGGGCCTGGAGGGGGCTCGCTGTGTGCACCGCCCCCTGCCTGACACCCCTCTTCCTGCAGACGTGGATGAATGCAGTGCTGGACGGGGCGGCTGTCCCCAGCGCTGTGTCAACACCGCAGGGAGTTATTGGTGCCAGTGTTGGGAGGGGCACAGCCCCTCTGCGGATGGGGCAATCTGCCTGCCCAAGAGAGGGACTGCCAGGGTCCCCCACCCGCACCCCACAACAGGTAGACTCCTGCTTCCCCCACCTTTTGCTGCTGCGCTGGGGGGGATGGGCTGGGAGGGCTGGGCATCACCCCACGGCTCAGTGCTCTGTGTGGCAGGGGCACCAGAGGGAACCAGCCCCGGGCTGCAGGCCAGCTCTCTCACCTGGGCACAAGCGGGTTCTTTCCCAGAAGACGGGCAGGGGCTAGTTTCTCATGGGCACTGTGGGGGGATCGCTGGGGACACCTCATCTCAGCCAACAGACTGGAAGACGGTCCCCTCCGGGGTCCCATCCGGGTCCCGCCCCGGCAGCCTGGAGACGCCGCACCTCCGCTGGCGACGGGACATTATTACTTTTGGTACGCGCTGTGACACTTCAAACTCGTACCGTGAGTAATAATGCGCCGTCGGCAGCCCGGCACCAAGAGCGGCTCGGACCCTGGCTCAGACCACTCTCCATGCGGTGGGAACCCCGGCACCCAGGGGCAGGTGGAGGTGGGGCTCTGTCCGCCCAGAGCCACGTCCCAGGGTGCGCTGAGATGACAGGGCTGCCTCCCAGACCTCTGGGCCGGCCTTGGTGGACAGCTGGGGCCCAGAATGGGGGGAGGGGGCTCGCCATGACAGTCCAGTCCACGACAGCCGGGGTTTGAACCCCAGTTGCCAGGTTGTGCCCCACATCTGGAGCAGAGGCTGGGAGGCCCCCGTGTCGGGAGAAGAGGCTAGCCTGGATGTGGGGTGAGGAGCGGGCCTCCCTGATGTGGCACCTGGATGTCCCCAGGAGTGGACAGTGAGGTGAAGGAGGAGGTGCAGAGGCTTCGGTCAAGGGTGGACGTGCTGGAGCAGGTGAGGCTTTCAGCTGGGCACCCGGGGCCGGGGCTAGCCCTTCCCCACAGTGGAGGCCCATACCCTCCCTTGTCTCCTGCGGCATGGGTTGACCCTTAGGTGGTTGTAGGGTGCAGTGGCGGTACCCTGGGCAGAAGCTTCCTTAATACTGACAGCCCAGGGATCCTGGGCCTGAGCTCCATGCCAGGCGGGGGCAGTGAGATGATGACTGGGACCCCCAGGACAGGAGGGGCTGAACTTGGCCCCACCCCCTCAGGCTGCACAGAGAGCCTAAACCCATACCCAGCCCAGCCCCGACCTTTGTCCTTGTGGGGACAGAGTGCTCCTGTGGCTTTTCCATGGGGCCGCTGGCCTGGCGAGCCCTCGGAAGCTCCAGTTCACCCCTCCTAGCTCCTCTCACCCGGGACCCCAGGCCTCGCCGACCGTCGGCCAGGTTGGCCTGCGTGACGTCCATCTGTGCCCACCCACCTCTGGCTCTCCTGGTGCGGCAGCTCCCTCTGGTGGACGTCCTGGGCTGCGCAGCTAGAGCCGGGTCTGGGGGTCAGCAGAGCCCTCACTGGCCACGGTGGTTTTCCTTAAAGCCTTGGGGAGCCAAGGGTGAGGGGCTGGCCCGGGGCCGCACAGGCCCTTCCCACCCAGGCCCTCTGCCTGCCCCGCAGAAGCTGCAGCTGGTGCTGGCCCCACTGCACAGCCTGGCCTCGCGGGCCCTGGAGCACGGGCTCCCGGACCCCGGCAGCCTCCTGGCCCACTCCTTCCAGCAGCTGGACCGCATCGACTCCCTGAGCGAGCAGATCTCCTTCCTGGAAGAGCAGCTGGGGTCTTGTGAGTGCTGCGGACCCCATGCCCGCCTCCCCACCCACAGAGCTGCCCCAGTTGCCTGAGACGCCTGGGGCAGGGGCCAGTGGGTGCCCAGAGAGGGCGGAGGGTGGGCGGGGCAGCCACAGGCTGAGGGGGCAGATCTGGCTGGGCCGAAAGGGAGTGGGGGAGCAGTGACCTCTGACCTCAGCACCCCATTCACCCATAGGTTCCTGCAAGAAGGAGCTGTGACAGGCCGGACCAAGGCCCTGGAGCCCATGGACTGTCTCCTCACCCCACCCTCCCCACTGTACTGGGCATGGCCGGTGGGGCACTGCAAGCCAAGACAGGAGAGGGGCCCCACCCTCCTTAACCAGGAGGCACCCAGGGCCGGGTGGGGCGAGGGGTCCTCCTCTGTGTGAATCCAGCCCCAGCCCGGCCAGCACCCCGGTCTGTGAGCACAGCCCAGCCCAGCCAGACCCCTGCACCCCCGCTGGCTCTCGGAGCCTGGTGGGCCCATGGCTGAGGGAAGGTACGCTCACTGGGCAGTGGGGGGGTACCACCCCGGATCTTTATCAGAATAAAATGAGACTTGAGGAGGTGCTGTGTCCATGGGTGGATCGTGGCGGGTATTGCGAAGCTCACAGGGGCCTCCCACAGGCCCACCGCCACGTGCTGACTGGTGGGAGGGCAGGGAGGGAGCCTCTAGCCACACTGGGCCCTCCTAGCTGGGGTCTTCGTCCCCCCTTTCCAGAAGAGCCAGGAGCAGGTGGATTCTGTGAAGGTGACCCAGGCCTCAGAGACGGCTTCCTCCTGATGACAAGTTGGCTCCACCCCCGGCCAGTAGCCAAAGAACAAATCCCCCGCCTCCTTCCCCAGTGCCCGCCAGACCCCGGGCATGGCTGCCACCCTCAATTAGGTGGACATCTTCGTCAACTGACAAAAGTATTATAGGATGACGGTGGGCTGAGCCCCTGGGAGGGAACACTGCGGGGAGGGGGCTGGGGGCCCCCACACTGTGCCCCTGCACAGGAGGAGGCGAGGGCAGTCTCAAAGACCTCCGCGCTGCCCAGGCTGTGCCACCCTCACCGCCCTGTGACCCAGGACGGAAGCCCGAGGCAGCGCTGCCCACCCTGAGTGACCACAACTCACCAGGTGCTTCCAAGAGCTTATTTATAAAGAACGACAACCGAGCGGTCCCCATTCAGCAGACCTGCTCCCCAAGGCTGGCAGGAGCGGCAGACCCTGCTTTCCGGCTCCCTGAGGCCCAGGTTGCATGGAGCCTGGCATCCTGGCCCCCCAAGAGCCCCGCCTCTCCCAGAGACCCTGATGCAGGCCATGGCTGGGCCCCCGGAAGCTGCTCTGCGCCCCACAGGCCCAGGCAGGAGGGTGGCAGGCCTCAGCTCCAGTCACTGTCCCGAGGCCACACCGCTCAGCCCTGCCAGCCCAGCCGGGGCCCCAGGCCTGCTCCTACACCTGGACCCTAGAGGCACAGGTGGCCGAGGCCCTGCCCTCAAAGCCTGGGGAGGTGCCAACTGACTCTCTTGTGAGGATGTCAGGGGCCCCGGATGCGGGGTTGAGGACAGGAAGAGGCTCCTGTTTCTGGGGTCCGAATGAAAGCCAGGGGAGCGGTAGGAACCAGACACAGTGCTATTTGGCAGCCAGGACGGCGCAGTGGAGGGGGTCCCTCTGTCCCTTCTCTAACCAGGTCCTGCCCCTGCCCACCCCACCTTCAGGTCCTGTCCTACTCTAGGCCTTGGCTACTGGGCTGGCTGGGCGCCAGGCCCCACGGCATCCCCATTCTCCTGGGGCATCTTGGATATGCGGAAGAACGTGGTCCTCATGGCCTGGTGGCAGGTGTCCATGAGCTTGGGGACGTCAGTGACAGTGAGGCCTCTGGTGGGGATGGCATCCAGCACCTCTACCTTGACCGTTCCTGTTGGGGGGTCGAGTGGCATCAACAGTCTGGGGGGCTGGAGGCCCACCTGTGCCTGCTGCCCTGGCCCCTATGCACGACCTCCCCTCTCCCTGGGCCCCTCCCCTCTCCCTAGGGCCCCTCCCCTGGGCCCAGGTTGGGCTGGGTTCTTCCCTGGGAACCTGGTCTCAGAGGGTTTGCTTTTAATTGAGAATAATTGACACAATTACTCACACAGCTCCTAAGCCTGTACTTGGTGAGCCTGAACGACTGTGTATGCCCTATAAGCACCACCCAAGGCACAGAACGCCTCCTCCCCCAGAAAATGTCCCTCCAGGCAGCCCTCACCCGCCATTCCACTTCCATCCTCCAGGGAGGTCTAGGCAGCTGCGGGGTCTCGGATGTGGGGGAGACAGCTTGGCTCCTCCCCTGCTGTCCTTCAACCTTGGACCCCACCTTCCCACCTGGGCACCAAGTGCCACGTGCAGGGTCTAGGGGGAAGGGGAGAGGCCCCGAGCTGCATGGCTGGTGGGCCTGGGGGTACCTGGGAGGCTGCTCCCCTGGGACTCAGGCCTGGATGCACTGGCTCAGAAGCCCACCCTCGGCACAGGAAGCGCCAGCCTCAAGTCCCCCAGGCCTCTGGGACCCTCAGTTTCTTCATCTGGGAAATGGGCTCACTAGCACCCACCTCACAGGCCCTGGCTGGGACTGGATTCCTTCCTTCCTCCTTTCCTTCCTCCCATGGTCGCTGAGTGGCAGCAACCTCCCAGAAATGGGAACCATTCTATGGGGGGCCTGGTGTTGCAGTGACCAAGGACCGCCAGTCCCGTGTGTGCGCGCAGGTGGTGGGGGCGCTACCTGAGGTGAAGAGCTTCGTCCTGGAGTTGTAGAAGGAGGAGAAGCTGGAGTACACCACGGGGATGATGGGCACCTGCAGACAGGAGGACGCGGGCAGCCTGAGGACCCAGAGCCCGCCCCAGCCCACCCTCATCCCCAAGGGCAAGCTCGTGGGGGGAGCCCTGCCTGGTCACCCGCCTGCCCCCACCTTGGGGCTGCCCACAGCACCCGGAGAGGTCCCAGGACGGGCACACTGTCCTGCCTCAGGGCCCTTCCCTACGCTGATCCCTGGGCCTGGAACACCGTTCATGCCCTGAGGGGCCCAGAGTTCCTGAAACTCATCCTGCACATCTTCACTCAAGCATCCCCTCCTCCAGGAAGCCTTCCTGGGCTGGCCCATGTCCATCTGATTCATGTCTGTGTCCCCCGCTGGGTCCTCAGGACTGCCCAGGGGAGAGGGCGCTGTCCAGTTCAGCTGGAGGAGGTGACTGAGGTTTTGCCGCCCACCCCTCCCTTCCCAAGCTTTCCTCCATTGGGAGGAGGCCGGGGCAGAGCCAGGGGAGGGGCAGGGCCCGCTGGGATTCCTGGAAGACAGTCCAGTGGTGACTCCAGCGTTGTAAAGGGCACCTGAGGGCAATCATGAACCCCGGGACCAGCAGAGGACTGGGGGCAGGGGCTCAGAGCCCAGGCAGGCTACAGTCTGGCAGGTGCTGGTGGGAGATGGGGAGGAGGGGGCGGGGAGAGGACAGGAAATGATGTCGTCTGCTGGCTGAGGCCGCCACTGCCCCAGCCCCCCAAGAGGCACCTGTATCTCCCCTCTCCTCTCCCATGACCCCTTCCCCATGCGACCGGCAGGGGAAAGTGGCATTAGCCCCAGGCGCTTGGCAGGAGTGCCTTCCACCTCCTGGCCAGAGTGGCCGCAGGCCCAGAGCATGGGAGAGCCTTGTGTGGGCTGGGCAGGCCTGGGATCAGAGCCCAGGCTCCCGCCCCCGGCTCCAGGCTCCTCCACGCAGCTTGCCAGCGCCCATACCCCCATGGCATCAACTGGGAGCCTCTGGAGGGAGGGCTCCCCAGGTCTTGCTCAGGGCCAGGCACCAGGGGGCGCCAGAGGCCACATGTCACAGGTGGAGGACAGGCGCAAAGCAGATCCCTGCCCAGCTGCCACCCAAGCTCCATCTGCAGGATGCAAGTCCAGTCCCCTGACCCCGACGATGGCTTTCCCCTACACCAACTTCCCAGCACAGTACCAGGGGCGGGACAGGGTGCCCTTCACCCACCAGGAGACCCTGCCCCTGGACGGGTGTGCCCCCTGCCTCTCCTGCTATCACCCCCAGACCCCAGGACATCTCTAGGACAACTGTACCCCTGGAGGCCGAGGACCAGATATGTACAATGTCCCTCGGTGGAGCTCACAGTCCACTCTCCCCAGGCCCGTCTCCGCCCCCACCCCCCCCCAGCCGTGGGCACTGCTGGTTCAGCCCACTGCCCACTCCCGCCCAGCCAGGGGTGCCGGGGGACTGAACAGGCCCTGAGCATAGCCTTCCCGAGAGGGCTCAGCCAGCAGCCTGCTGCCTCCGCCTTCTAACCCAGCCCTGGGCTCCCTCGGGGGGGCCTCTCCCCTGGCCACTTGGAAAGGGGGTGCTGGAGCTGCACGTGCTGCGTTGAGCTGAGTTTGCCCGCTGGCCGCTGGGCCTCATCAGGCGCCAGCCTTAACGCTTAGGGCGGGAAGGGGCCCAAAGGACTGCCCTCCGAGCAGGTCAGGGACCAGGGACCCTGCCCCATGGCAGGTGGGCCGTGAGCGCCAGCAGCCCCTGCCTGGCCAGGCGGGTCACCTTCAGCCTCAGGCCGACGTGGACCTGCTTCCCCACCCCCTGCTGCCCCAGGAGGGTGAGGCCTGCGCACCTGGGCCTGGATTGCCAGGTGGAAGGCGCCTTTCTTGAAAGGTAGCAGGTCTCCATTGTCATTCCGCGTGCCCTCAGGGTAGATCCACACTTTGAGCTGCAGGAGAGAGGAGGCAGCTGCCACAGGGATACACCCCACAGCCCTGAGGCCACCCGTGGGGCGCCCCCCTCACCCCCGCCCCAACTTCTCAGCCGAGACCCCGCTAACAGCTGAGGCCTGACTCTCCTGCATGCGGTTTGCGGGCGTGCGGGGGTGACGCCAAAAGCAAGGTGCGCGTCAGGTCTGCTCTGACACCTGCCGTCCCACCCTCCCTGGAGGCCCACGCCCCGGGCACTTACATCCTCCCGGACCAAGTGCTCGCCCACATCAGCCATCACGGTCATGGCGGTACTGGAGCGCTGCCGGTTGATGAAGACGACGCCCCCGAGGTACATGATCAGGCCCAGGGGCCCCAGGAAGAGCAGCTCCCGCTTGGCGATCTGAATGCAGCGCGGGGGCAGGATCTCCATGAGGCCTGTGGGCAGCCACCGGACACCAGACGGAGTGAGAGAGAGAGCGAGCAGGTGGCTCAGAGCCGGGTGGCCACCTCCCCAAAGAGGGAGCCAGCCCTGCACCTTGACCACCAACAGGCCTGGCCAAGTCACGCCTTCCCGCTGGCCACCTGGGCAAGTCACTTGGCCTCCAAGCCTCGGTTTCCCACCCGTAAAGGGAGGGTGCTCTAAGAGAGCTCCCGGCTGTCGGGGAGCCGCAGAGCCCTATGCCCAGCGCCAGGCACATGTGACCTGGTCCCTCATTACCTGTGGCTGGAGGGGGGCACAGGGCCCCCTGGCCTGGCCCAGCCTCTACCTCCCTGAAGCAGCCCCCATGCCCCCTCCCCGGGGACCAGGCCGGTGTCCCGGGCCCAGCCCGTGGCTGGGAAGGGCCAGCCCTCCCACCAGACCCTCTTGGCCCAGCCTACCCATCATGTCCAGGATGCTCTGGTGGTTAGAAATGATGACACAGGGGTGGTCGACTTCCAGCTTCCCGCGGCCCTTTATCTCAAAGCGAAGGCCGTATGCGTACTTGAAGGACCGAACAAACCAACTGATGATGCTAAGAGGGAAGATGGCACCAGTGAGCAGAGGTCCCACTGCCCTGCGGCCCCGGCCTGAAGGCCTGGGGAGGAACCAGAGACAGCAACACAACAGAGAGCCCCGCAGCAGATGGAGCCCACACCCACCCTCTTGTGGGCTGGCTGTGTGACCCTGAGCTTTCTTCCCCTCCAGGAGCCTTCAGATCCTGTCCCTCAAGGAGATGGGGACTGCTGCCCTGCTTCCTGCCACCCCAGCCTGCGGCCGGCGGGAAAATCAGGAACAGAAGGAGCAAAGCCTCCAGGGCCCGGACGCCTGGCAAGGGGGAGGGCGCCTTCCACATCCACATTCCAGGGGCCTGTCCTTATCCCGGGCCCTCCCTCACACCCCTGCTAGCTCAGCCAAGTGGGGGGCCCAGCTGGGTCTGCTGCTCAGTTGTGACGGCAACTGACGGACCCGACACAGAGAGAGAGAGGTCGGTGCGCCCCTGCAGAGGAGGCTGGGCGCCCACCCACACAGCTTGGGGAGGAGACCCGGTCAGAAGTGACCATCCCCTAAGGCAGTGCCACACTGGGAAGAAAGGGTTGGTACCAAAGGGAGACTTTTGCAAGGAGCCAAAGGTTGCTTCCAGAATGATGGGAGAGCCCCGCCGACGAGACCAGCACGGCCAGGCAGCACGGCGACGAGGCTGCTGTCACTCCTCGCCTGATCCCACAGAGCAGTGAGTGTACCCTGGTCCCAGATCGAGACGCGGCCTGCAGAGGCTCATGACTTGCCCAGGGTCTCACGGAGGGAAGGGAGTGGAGCCAGGATGTGTGAGGGCCCGGGACTCCTGACTTGGAAGCCCACGGCCTCCGAGCCCCTGTTCCTGGCAGGTGGCTGCCCCGGAGCACCCGTGCCCTTGAGGGGCCTCGTCCAAGCAGCACGCGATGGGCACAACGAGCTGTGTCCAGGGGCACTGTGGCTTCGCGCTCTAACTGTCCGTAGGGACTGTAGGCACTGCCTGGGCACGGAGAGCAGAAGGAGGAAGCGTGGCCTCCACCCCCTGCTCTGCGGGGATGCTCTGCCCACATCTGGGACAGAACAGGTGCCAGGAGGGGTCAGCCCACGAGGTGACGGATCTGAGGTGTGCGCTCAGTGCTCCGCAGCTCCCTGCAGGACCCCTGGGTCCTCCCATCCCCAGTGGGTGGGTGCAGATGTGCCGCCCGAGGGCCATCTCAGACTCAGAACTGCCCCCCTTCTCCCAGAGGATTTGTGCACCCGCCCTCCCGACACCCCCAGGCCATTGGATCCCAGAGACGGCTCTCAAGAGAGCAGACTCAGGGCCAGAGCCTTGACTCAAAGCCAGACTCGGGTTCTTTGAATTGCAGTTAAATACACATAATATAAAGTTTACCATCTTAACCATTTTCAAGCGCACACTTCTGTGCACTGAAGCAGGAAGTGCTTTCGAGTTGTTGCGCAATCACCCCCACCATCCATCCACAGAACGTTTTCCCAGCCCGAAACCCTGTCCCCATTAAAGACTCACCACCCCCCCCACCATCCCACAGCCTGTCCCGATGGATGTGATCCCTCGAGGGCCCTCACATGAGTGGAGGCCTAGAGGATTCGTCTGTTTGTGTCAGAAAATCAGATTCCTATCCAGCCGCACCTCTCACAGAACCTGCGTCCTGGGAAGTATCATTATCCCATGTTGCAGACGGGGAAACTGAGGCTCGGGGAGGCGCAGTGGCTAACTCTGGGCTGCTGTCACGGTTAGACCAGCGATCTGTCCCCAGATCTGGAAGCTGCTCCCTCCTCAGATCTGCCAGCTGGGGCCAGCCCTGGCCACGTGTCCCCTCCCACTCAGGGGCCGGCCAGGCTGGCAGGCCCCGGACCCTCGCTGGGAGAACCGACTGGCTGTTTCACCTCTGGGAATCTCAGTTTTCTCATCAGCAAAAGACAGCTTCCTGGGTCACTGTGAGGACTGCAGCAGACACGGAGAGGCCATAAGCAGGCAATTCACAAAAAGGAAACGTAATTGTCCAATTGACATCAAAAAATTCAATCTCACTAGCCATCAAAGAAATGCAAATTGAAACAAGAAACCGTTTTCATCTTCAGCTTGGCACAAATTAAAAAGAGTGACAACAGGAGGTGTTGGCCCAGAGAATGGAACAGCTCCAAGGACTGCAGGCCAAAATGAGAGCACAGACACAGATGCTTCTGGAAGGCAGGTTGGCAGCACCTGGCAAAAACGACTAAGAGGGGCTGGCCCGGTGGTGCAGCGGTTAAGCGAGCACGTTCCGCTTCAGCGGCCTGGGGTTCGCCGGTTCAGATCCCGGGGGCGGACATAGCACTGCTTGGCACGCCATGCTGTGGTAGGCATCCCACGTATAAAGTAGAGGAAGATGGGCATGGATGTTAGCTCAGGGCCAGTCTTCCTCAGCAAAAAGAGGAGGTTTGGCAGCAGATGTTTGCTCAGGGCTAATCTTCCTCAAAATTAATTACTTAAAAAACACAAACACTTAAGAAACCCAGTCCCTTTGTCTCGCAGTCCTCTTTGAGGAATGTATCCTAAGGCAGTTCCAAGGATGGTGGCAGTACTCACGTGTTGTCTGAATTACAAAAATCTGAGAACGCCTAAATACCCTCCAGTTAGTAGAAGAGAAGTATATTCGGGTTCATTTCACACCCTGCTGCAGCAGAGGAAAATGACAACCAAGATCTGTGTCACTGACTGCGAGGGACACTCCTGTGACTTCTAGCAGTGACCACCTATGGCTCGTGTTTCTGTATCTGGCTGCAGAGCAAAAAGCCTCAGCTGCATCTGGAAAGGGACAGTGATTCTCTCTGGTGGTGGCATTTTCTGGCTCTGGTTTTTCTTTCTTTCTTTTTTTAAATTCTGGTGAAATATATGCAACATAAAATTTATCATTCTATCATTTTCAAGTGTTCAGTGGCATTAGGTACATTCACATTTTGCTGTGCAGCCATCCCCAGCATCTGTCCCCAGGACTTTCCTCTGTTTTCTTTCTGTATCTAATGTAAGGGTTGATTGCATCCTGTTGTTGTTTTTAAACTACGAAAGATACTGTGTACACACCTCAGCCAGTAGGCAGAGCTGAGCAGGGGTCCTCTCCACACTTCTTCTCTGGCCTCTCCTGCCCCAGAGTCCAGGTGGCCTGGCAGAGACAGTGCTACCAGGACCAAAGGCTCTGGGAGGGACAGAGAGGCAGCCCCGGCTGCCCCAGGAGCTGCAGGGATCAGAGGCCCCCATGGCAGCACACTCTCTGCATTTTTGCAAATAATTGCACTCATACAAACTAAGAAATACAGCAGCCGGTGTGATTACAATGAGCTGTGAGAGAGAGGTGCACCCCGGGAGTGGAAAAAGGCAACAGCTATGTCCTCAAGGGGACGGATCATTCTCTGCAGGTGGCGTACACGCGGGTACCCACTTTTCCTTCTCCTAATGTCCCGTGTTTTCAAGGTTTTCTGTAAAAGTGGTGAGAAAATATTGTGAAAGATGACACAAGTGGACCCATTTAAAATAGAGCCAGCGCTGCCATTTCAGAGGGACTGCTTTCATGTCTCGTTTTCTTTATCTTCCAAATTGGACCAAACTGCCAACATTCCAAGAAGTCAACAGAACAAGAATAATATCTTGTCTATAAGAATGGATGGCCCTGGACTTTGCTGATGACCAGATTGATAATCAATCAATAAACTACAAGTCTAGACTTTTTGCCTGATGATCAAACCTCAGGCCATTCTAAGAAGTACAAAGCCAGCCTCACTCATGAGCACCAATGAACTCTTCTTTAACACAACTCACCTCCTCCTCCCTTTTTCCCATAAATGCCCTGGGCCCCTCTCCTGTAATCAGGACACTGTTTGGGTTTCTACCTGAACCTGTGCTCTCCAAATTCTAATTCTTTGACCCCAAATAAACGCTTTGCCTCTTGAACTGGTTTCTGTTTTTGTAGGGTGACATACGGTGTCAGAAGTGGGATCTGAAATGCTCTCGCCTTTGCACACTGGCGTCCTCTGGAAACGGACTCGGTACCAACACGAGCCCGCTTGTGTGCTCCCCACTTCCATGGACGGCTGACTCCTCTGCTCATGTGACCTCTCGGGCTCAGACCTCCCTCCTTTTGGTTGAGGTCAGTGCCTTTTTTGGTCGAATCAACCGCCCATGACACCACTGTCTCAGTGCCAGCACGACGGCCATTGCTGCAGGAGGGGCCTTCCTCAGCAGTTTTCCTTGGTTAGTGAGTCCTAACCAAAGTAAGAGATTTTCCTAATGTCATTTTTATTTGCACGCTTTTCTTAACCTGAGAGTTTTCCAAGAAGCTCCTCCCCTGGGAACTCCAGCTGGTTTTATATTTAAGGACCGTGGTCCTTCCTCTTGTAAACTTTTGTTTACAAAAGCGGACCGATAATACTAAAGATGATTTCAAATTACAGCAGCCACTTTGGGGCTCCTTTGAGCTTCCAAAACTTGTCTTGTTGCACGCTAGATTTGAGAACCATGGACCAAGTTAAATGCAATCTTCAATCTCTAAAGAGTCGAGTGCACCACCTTCCAGAACACCTGCTTAAAAGCCATGGTCTGGGAAGCTGTAAATATTTACAAGTAACAGCAAAATCTTACTAAGCTTGTCTGGTGTCCTGAGAGCTTGGCTTGGGAACCACTGGTTTGGGTACTGCAAAATACGGTCAGACAGAAACGTGGCTGCACCCCACTTGCAGTCAGAGATGGCTGGACAGAAACACGGGCTGAACTCCATCGGCAGGTGTGGCCCCATCAAACTGCAGCCAGCCTCAGGGGAATCACACTGGCCATCAGAAGGCACATTTCAACGAGATGAGATCATTTAAGAAGTTCACCTTAAAGTAAAGCCTTCAAAATCCCAAAATAGCATGACTGAAAGTTTTGTTGTAAAAAACTAACGAAAAATTAAGATATAAGAGATACTTAAAAGTCTGTTAATGGCTTTACAGACACCCCCATATCTACATTTGAAGGAGAGCCCC